TAGGAATATAAGTTCCAAACAGTGTAGCTTTTTGGGTCACTACGATATGCACACCTGACTACCACGATAAGGTAGCAGTTATCAGCGGGGTGTATCTTAACTTACTATATGACTTAGCGTATTTGTTAGTGGCAAATGACTTATAGTATAGTTATTTCGCGAAAACTATGAAAACACATTTTACTGACCCTAATGAACTGACTGAATTATGTTGCTGGTCAACAGATGTAAACAGTGTCAATGGCACTTTCCTGGAAGCAGTGACTATATTGATCCATTCAGAAGATTGATGTATACACTTTTACTGCCTACACACTCATCTTTCTTGATCTTCTTACTGTCTCTCAGATGTTACATTGACCACAGACCAATAGATTAAGCTCCTCAACTTCACTTACACTAGTATGTATTATTTATATTTTATATTTTTTTATATTTTTGATTACAGCTTGATGCCACACCTTATTTTCAGTACAAGTATGGCATTTTCAGCATGGATATCGGTAGCCCAAATTTTGCAGGCCGACCATAGATATCGGGTGTGCGTCGGCAGGGGATCGAACCCCGGACCATGTGCATGGTCGGCGAGAGTCCTAACCACTGTGCCACCGACGCTGAAGATGAACACTTAAGATAGCGGGTTCACAATGACAGACTGAGTAGAATAATTTGATACAATTAAATAAACGAAATGCATACAGAAGTGTCATATGGTTTCTTAGTGAATGGAACATCAATACTTTCGCATAAAACGTTTTGATGAGGAATTCCACACTTTATGCATGTTTGGGAATTGTAACTGGTTGATTAAAGATGTCCATTAAAAATCTGATTACCCAATAAAGAACATTCTTTTCGATAATTCCTTCTTGATCATGTCCTACAATTATATGTCAATAGTAATTCAAGAATTATTGTTATTAAAAACAATGTTTTGAATAACACTCGATCATTATTGATGGGTAAATTACAGTTCAAATGCATCTATGAGTTATAATATGCATAGAAATCCAATATAAGGCTGAATGTCAGATAAATTTAAGAAGTGATATAGAATTTATGAATTTGTAGGTACCATAGCAACAGTGGCTATTTCTTATACGCACAGAAGGAATTGCCTTGAGCTATGCTGTTTGGATTATTCAGTATTTAGAGTCTTCTGGCAATTTATTTGGTACCTGGTAGGTGATGGAAAAAGATTCTTCAGCACTATGGACAAGACGATCTAAAATCGAACTGTTGGTGGTTTCTACTATACCTTCATTCAGTCATACTGGTGGTAGGTGTTCCCGAGTACGGCCAATATAATTAAGATTTTGAAATTGATTAGTTCGTGTATAGACGTCTTGTAATTTATATACACTTTATCATACAAACTAGCAAACTAATAACTGCGTAGTTAATTCCATGTAGGTTGAGTAGTATCAATAACATTTTATCAGCTGTACACAAGTTTTTACAGCATAAACGTAGTATAATCTACTCGTCAATTGATTTTGTTTACACGGGTATAAACAGAGTAATTTTTGTTCCAATTTGTTGTTTTATTCTTATTGATAAGATGTTTAACATTTTGAACTTTTGTGTACCTGTGTTACTCTCAGGTTCACTTTATTTACAAACCAAATATATGCAAAGTGTATATTATTCTACATACATAATTGGAATTTAATCATTTAATTCACTATAGCACTGGAGGTCACATGATATAAACAATGTTTAATTTTCATAATTTTGTCAATTTTTTGATTAGATTAGCTGTCTCTTTAACTTTGATATTGATATAGGTTAGAGCTAAGATTTAGTTGAAGACTCAGCATGAACTGATTTCAGTTAGAGGACCAACATCTAAAAATTAATTTAAAGCTCACTAATAACTTATCATAGACTAAAGTTGCCTGGAGTTCTAGTGAGAAGTTGTGACTAATGGGCTCCACCGAGTCGAGTATGAGAACAAATACTCACATATCATGCGGTTGGCGGTGGTACTATATGTCCCAAATTGGCAAAAGTTAGAATTTATGGGCCATTGGATTACTTCTCAGTGGCTGAATGGTGAAGGAGCTCGCACCGTGTCTTAGGTTCGACTCCTGGTGGCGGGGTCATATAAGTGTCTGTCTGTTTTCGACATAGAACTTTGCACCGATATGCGGAAGTTCAAGTCGCCACACTCCCTTCATGTAGCACACAAAGAAAGAGAAGAAAGTAGGAGAAATGCATATTAGAGACAGTAAACAGAGGTGTGAGACAAAGGAATAGTAATAACGGAGAATAAAACAGTTTCATCGGAAATCATAAGTCACAAGGAGTGGATGCATCTGCGCCAGCCATTGAAAACGATTTTGAGCCATGTCACCAATTGTTTCCAACCATTGGTTTTTACCATCCCGAGGACCCCAACCAGTCAGGAAGTCTACACCTTCCTACATGGCTTAAACTAACTGTTGTGGATTTCATTGACTGGTGCCATGTTTTGGTTTGACCGCCGCTAGCTCTTTTCTAGTCTGATCCTATGTCAGCTAACATTGCCCATTGTCGAGGAAGGCGATGACTAGGCATACGTAGCACATGTCCTAACCATCTCAGTCGAAGTAATTTCACAGTTTCGTCGATTGATTTCCCCCCTTACCTAGGACTCTACGCCTAACCTCAATATTGCTCACCTTATTATACCACTTCACACGGGAGATAGAACGCAGGCACCTATGATCGAAGACAGCTAATCTTTTCATGTCTTCTGCTCTCAATGGCCATGTCTCACAGCCATAAAGGATGACGGAGTGGACTGCTGAGCAGTACACACGCCCTTTGGTCGATGATCGGATATCACACCTACGCCAGAGACGGCATAAACTGGCATATGCGAAACTAGCCCTCTGTATTCGTGCTGAGATTTTTTCAGAGATCAACCCGTTGGGGCTGATGGTACTTCCTATGTAAGTGCTCTACCACTTCACTTCCTATTTCTAATCTAGCGGTCGGTGTAGTTTAATCCTGCAACATCATCTTACATTTTATATAAGTGTACTGCTAAAGAGTCCCAGACAAGGAAGAAACTAGTACCTAGTATTCCCTGGGTTTTTTCCCGTTGTTCTCTAACTGAAATCAGTTCGTGATGAAACATGAAATAAGTGTTAAGGCAGGTACACATATCGTATCTGAGATAGTTTTTTCCAAAAGTTTTCTTTATATACAATTTGTGATAATATATTATTCACATGTTATTTTATAGTATTCTTAATCTTTGCTAACTAAATAAGTCATATTTATTTGCACAAATTCAACTTACAAATTTGAACTATAGACAAAATTAGGCATTATTTTCATGTATAGATACACAAGCATTATTTGAAATAGGAAACTATTATCTTTGTACACATGTTTTCAGTTTGAAAGCGATAACAGGATAAACAATTGTGACTGGATGACCAGACTATCATTTCCTGCTAAATTGTTTATGTTGATTTGACAAATGTTTAGCGAACTTTCCAAGTCAATCAGCATTCTAACATGTTGACTTTAGGATTTTACACGTAGTGTATCGGAATTTTGCATGATTTTATTTTGACTAAAATGTAGTCAAACATTGTGCAGAATTTGATCTTTTCTGAAGCATTCTTTACAATTTAAATTGTATAAATGATCATTAGGCGTAGATTTGATGAAACGGTATAACAGACATCAAGCAATGAACTCTCATTCTAAGTGGAAAAAACGCTATCAATCATAGGTAATTGGTGGGTGGTGACCAGCAGTGGAATCCAGGATGCACATTTCTCCCTATTTGGAACTCGTCAACTGGATTTACCTGCATTCCTCAGAGAGTGATGATGTTCCCGCCGAGGCTCGAACCCAGTGACCATAGTTTCAAACGCCAAAGCGTTATCCACCAGGCCACTTGGGCCATGAGAGCCACCCCTTGTGCAATGGGTCATATTAATTATTTAATTGAATTTTAGATTTTCTCGTCGACTGATAGGACCGAAGTTCTCGGTCTCAGGTTGACATGCCCAGATATCATAGAAGCATCTGCACAAGGAGCCGACATGTCAACCTGAGACCGAGCACTTCGGTCCAATCAATCGATGGGAAAACCTAAAATTGAATTACATAGGTAATGTAGTTCTAATAAACTTGATTTCCCCACTTCATGGCTGCTAATCAGCTTCACTGCATTAGTTTTGATGAGGTTATGAAGCTGCATCGATTGACATGACTAGGACATGTGTTACGTGTGCCTAACCATCACGTTGCTCGATGAGCAATGTTAGCTGACATAAGATGAGGCTGGAAAAGACCTGGTAGTGGTCAAACTAAAACGTAGAATCAATCCACGAAATCTTTGACAGTTCGTTTGAGTTACATAGAGCTATGGAAAGAACCAATGGCTGAAGACAGTTGGCGGTGTGACTCAAAATCGTTCTCATTGGCGTAGATGCATTCACTTTCTGTGGCCTGCCATATCCCACAGAACCCTGATGTTTTTCCATGTTACTTTTCGTTCACCCTCAAATTTCTGCTTATTATGGTTCTTTTGAATCTGTTTTCTCTCTCATTTGTCTTCTTTTGTGTGCTACATGGAGAGTGTCAACTCGAACTGCTTTGCTTCTGTGCAAAGTTCTACGTTGAAACCAGTCAGTCACTCAGCATTTGTCTCCATATTAATCTACAGGATTTGTAAAATTGTTGCCAAAGGCAGTCTCGATGAAGACTGAGCTGTCTTTTATACTATTCTAACGGGTCTTGTTTCACAAAATGTTTATGATTTCAAAAAATTTACGCTCTAAAATCACTTATTTTATCATTCTCTAACGCTCTTATGTAATAGATTTTCCTTCCAAATGGTAACCCTAATGAGTTATTTTGTTTTTACCAGTTGTTGAACAACTTGGACAAATTTTGTTAAATATTGACCAATAAAGTCTGAGGTAGCCTTTAAATTTCTGTACATATTAGAGTAATTGTATTGATTTACATTTTACCTTTGTATATTTTTATAGCCCTGCTACTAACAGAAAAAGAACATCATTATCCTCCGACTCTTCATCTTGTCAAAGTGAAGAAGCACAAAAGCCACAGAGTACTTCAGTCAACGATGTAATTTCAAAATCGATGGATAAAGGTACCGGTAGTTCTTTTTTTGTTCCCTTTCTGTTGTGTTAAGTAAACAAAACAGTTTTATGAACTATTGACCTTTTTTAATCGGTTTAGTTAGAACAACTATAGTTATATCGAGAGAAATTGTACATTAACTGAACTGAATAAGGTCATGCACAGCGATCTTTATCACTTGTTGCGTTCTGGCAGAGTTTTTCTTCAAGGTTAGGTTGTGCTAACTGACTTTTTTAACTGATTGGTCTATTTCGAATGATGGTTAGCGTTTTCAATCCACTTGTTTTGGGTTTACTGCTTAAAACGTAAAAGTAGCCACTGGATTTTGAGAAACTTCACTTCTCTCCGGTTATCAATCACTTGTATTTGTTCTAAGGCAAGAAATCAATAATAAAAATGGTGGATTGATAATTATCATCCCATAAATATTTTTACATCTGTAATCATATTTAAAGGAGGAATTATGTAGTCTAGACATAATTTTCTTCAATGAAGTCACCTAGGAAAATCAGTAGACAAATGAAAAAGGAATCTTAAACAGTTAAATACAGATTTCAGATTGTAACCAGGTGTTAAACAGATATCTGCATAAAACTTGATGAGTTGGTAGACGAAGTAGTGTTTGTATTTTGGCAATCTCAGGAAATGTAAAGAATTAACAAGCTGTTAAAAAAGATATAAATCCGTATATTGTAGACTTCTGTCTTGTCACAGTTCTATTGTGGCGTGTGCTACTGATAATATCTATCAGTAGTACATATATGAGGAGATTTTCATCGACGTAGAAACATCAAATAGCAAGGAGATATATTTAATGTCAGAGAAAGCAAATAATACAGCATTGCAGAGATACATGGGAGACATGAAAGGAACACAAAGAAGCAGAATATGAAGGCCAGAAGTAGCACAACCTGGAAGATGTGTTCAAACGGTGCGCTTACGATAAGGTGTACATAATTTTGCCATGTAGAGATACCATATTGCAGATAAACATTTATTTGCCAAGTCCTACGACTTCTACCATTACAGTATAACTGTTTCTGGATGCGGTGATACTTTTAAATTTATCTTATGTGAGCAGTTTTACACAAAACCCCATTTATGCATAGTCCGTTGGTATCATCGTTGAATTATCTTGGCATTATTTTGTTTTTTAAGGTTTCCATATAGTACTATAAAGTATATTGCTTTTATCATTACTTCTTTGAGTTCTAAGTGGAGCACAGAGCTTCAGTAGCACATCTCCATTTCATCCTATTCTCTGCTGTTCCCTCTAGTTGACTCTACACTTCTCCATATCCTCTTATCTCCTAGTCACACGATCTTCTTCATGTCACCGTCGGACATAGACGGTGAAGAACACGTTTTGTCTATATATTTTTCTCTGTACTTTGAAGTTTCTGCAGCGATCAAGTTGATTTTCCTGAGTAGAGTCGCTAGTCCCACACCCCCAACCCTCCCTCTTTTTCCGAGTTTTGATATCAGCTAGTAAACACTAGGTAAGGCTATGAAGTATATGATGCACATTAATATTATTATGAAAAATAAATGGTGAAAACTGGTGAAAAGTATAGTTGAGTATAATTAAGTCAACATTTATATCATTCCTTGTGCTAAAATCTATCGTTTTTGTATACTATTTATTTCAAGTGCATGACATCCATCATGTGATTGTGTTTTCAAGTGTTTTCAAACATTATTTCTTCTACTACTTCTTATTATTACTATTACGCTTTTATATACTGGAGTGTTAAATACAGAGAGCGTCTAAAGTTCATTATCTTACAACCACTTACACATACTCTAAATGATTTTCACACTTGGACACATTATTTTTTACATAGTAATTGAAATTCATACATTTTAAACTGGATTGTATGATTGATTGATTGATTGATTGTTCAGTGAATCATACTTACAACTAGTTCATCATCTTGGAAAAATAGTAACCATCTTGATGATTTATCTCTTAATTCATCTTGACATAAAATGAATATAGTTTTTGTCTATATGTTGTATACCTATGAAAGATTAAATATTGTATGCCAAGCTTAAAAAAGAGAGTTCCTTTGTTATTACTTATTGTGTATAACAATGTCTAACTATGCATCTGTATATCTGTAGGCGTAGACAATCATTTACCATACCTTTAGTTTAATCTCCCTTATTTCCATATCCAATGAATATTTAAATCTACAAAGAGAACACCGCCAAAGATCATCTCAAGTTCGTCATTCAGTTAGCTTACTGAATGACAGACACTTCAGTGTAATAATGAAAACAGTCAGGGAAAAAAAAGAAAATTTAACAGTAGTATGCTATGCAAATGTAACTGTAACGAAAGTACAAAGTCGAAGCAGCAAATTGAAATAAGTATATAAAAAAACTTAGATGGATGAAAATTCATTTTTAGTTTAATAATTACAATGATAAACATTTATTGACAATGAATGTTAAAGTTATGCTCACTTATCACCATATTTTTTCTGTGCAAATAAAGGTGAGAAATTAGCGTCTCATTACGTTATCGTTATTTCACTTAATTAATTGTATTATATAGCAAGTAAAGCTTGAGTGTTACACTCATATTGTGCGTGTCATAACCATTACTTATAAAGCAATTAACTAACTTCTCGTAGTAAATGATATCTGAAGATATCTTTACTTCTGTCCACTACATGACACATATGCAGTTGCAGACTTTTGACCTAGTCGAGTTCAAATCATTTGTTGTTTAATAAAGTGAAAGAATTTTGATGTATAAATCCCCTTAGAAGTCATCTTGTGGAGAATCATAAAACATTTCCCAGTGTGTACATTAATTCGATCCCAAATCATTTTCTGAGTGATGAAGGGGTCACAAAATACCAATTGACAGTAAGTAAATTCAGTTGTCGACTCTTTAAGCATTTACTTCTATTCCTTTTACACTTCTTTTTTAAAAGTTAAATTGTTTTTGTTTTACTCACTCAATTACTTTCACTTTTCAGATGATGGAGATAACCAACGAAATATTTTGAATAAATTCACTAGTGAACAGCCTACTGAAATTATTAAGTCTATTCATGAAGATTCTTCAAATCCTACTCCTAACACCATCACCGATGAACAACATGATGATCATAGTAATCCAGATATCCTATCTAAAACCAATCCAACAAAACCATCTTCACCATCAGAGTGTTTATCTCCAATATCTTCAGAAATATTAGAAAATACAAGTAAGAGTCAATCATCACCGGAGAAAAGTGACAGTGGATGCAACAGTGTCTCTGAAAATAGCATTGTAAAGTATTTGTATTTAAGGATTTCTGTTACAGAAGGTGAAAATCATATCTTTCGCCTTACAGTGGATCGGTAAGCATAAGTTTCCTGGTTTACTGTTTATCACTTAAGTGATTTAATAGTGACTAGTATGGTCTGTCTAGTCCTTTGTATTTTTGTTTTGGTGCAGACTGAATTCTATCAGTCAAGTTTGCAATGTGGTCAGCATTCTAGGTGGCTAGCCATCATGGTGCACTTTGAATTGTCGATATTAGATAGTTGGAGGAAATCGGCAGGAAGCCTTGGACCAAGGTTACGTGCTAGTTGGCACTCACCAGTCAACAAGGCGTATCTGCAACCTTGAAGGAACTCATGTCCATTCTGAGATTCGAACCCGCGTCACCCAGTGCTGCAGTCAGAGACGTTACCACTGAGCTATTCGGGATCGCTATTGACCTCCTATAGGACTATATTGGATACTAGTCAGTGGTTCCTTCAAGGATGCAGATACGCCTTGCTGTGACTGGTGAGTGCCAACTAGCACGTAACCTAGGTCCAAGGCTTCCTGCCGATTGCCTCCAACCATTTAATATCAATGATTTAATAACTGTTTGTGTGTTAGCCTCTTTGTGTTTTTGTTCTTATTAACCGTTCTCTCTGTGATGTTCTTGCCTACTTTATTTCAATATTATTAATTGATAAGTATTATTTGCTCACGAAGCTAGCTAATTCACATATCCTGTTGTATGAAAATGGTTTCATCTGCTTGCTGCACTTACCTGAGAAACTATAGTGACTTTCCATTTTTTTCCTTTTGGTCTCAATGTGCTGAAAGGTTATTAGAAAAGTGTTTTTAAAAAATGCAGCTGATTATAATTACAGCAGCGTAAACATGTAGAACTAACTCTATTACAGTGTAAAAGAATTAGATTATTACCGAGTGTAAATGTCTGAGAATATTCACAGCTCATGTGATTGATTTTAGTGGTGTTGCGTTCTATGAACTGCACAGTTTACCTGTGGAGCTCTTACTGTCGTTCTAGATTAAATTGTCAACATCAACTTCGCAAGGAAGTAAGCATTTAGGTTTTCCACAATTAGCGTAGTATCATATCTTGTTAATCTGGGAGTATAACTAGTCATTCTACCAGTTATTTTATCTCATTCTACATGACGGATAGAATGAGCACTTTGTCTGATGTAGTACTTATATCGCAGATGACCCAGTTAATTTCATGGATTATATTAAACTTTTCTCCTTTTGTGACTTCGTTTTTTAATTTTCATGGTAAAGTGCAGAAATTTCGTAAGGTTTTTTGGGTACAAAGAGACTTCAAGGACGACGTAAGCTCCGCAACTAAACCAATCAGCTCAGAGAACACTACTAATTGCAAATCATCCACCTAAGCTACAAATCTTCTCTATTATTTCAAAGACTTCAAGGCTTTTGAAACTCTAGCTGTAATTTTTGAAACATTTGTAAGGTAGTATACAATCTCTTTTTGTCTTCAGCCGTGACTTTTTAATTGTTGATGATTATAATAGACGTTCATGACCAACTGGTGTGAACAGTTACCAAGACATACTGCCAAATGACGCATGCAGAGCTAATAGCTTAGTTTTTTTGAAGTATATATACTTCAGTTGACTTGAATGACAATGATGGCTTCATGATTAAATGGTATAGCATATTGATGTTTCACAGATTTTATGTTCATTTCAATGGGTTATTTTCCGAAGTATGAAGCAATTTCTGGTGCGTCCGTGGTTCAGTGGTAGAACGCGAGTCAACCACGCATTTGTTTCGGGGTTAGGTTCCCCGGCCAACTCAGTCCTAAACCTCGCTAAGCCAGTATTAAGCCCAGTAAGGAAGCAAGGTTGGGCGTGACGCCAGCAACCCCAGCCGAAACTTCAAAGGTCTAGCTGGAAGCCCTGTGTTCCACTGGGAACGTAATTAAGTAAAATAATCTAATAATAATGACGATGCACTTTCTACTGGATTTAAATATTCCAGAAATGGTTATTCAGCCTTAAGCGTATATATCTTATGCGTCTTTTAGACCACCGTTATTTGTCTACATTCATTTTTGACTAACTGATTTACTTTCCTTACTAAAGTAAAATGTCAACAGGCTATAAAGAAATGTAATAAACTTGAGGAAGGAAAATAAAAACAAAAACAAACTCGCAACTTACAATTTACACAGTTCGAGGTGAAACTTGACCACACTTTCCTTCTCTGATTGGAATAATTACTCAGATCATAATATGTGATCTGCTTGATACCATATATGGTGATCGAGAAAGCAAGCTTAATTGCATGATGCTCTCTACTGCTGATTGGTTGATGTGAATATCAACCACTAGTAGTGTGGTAAGAGCTGTCTGCAAGCCAAAATTGTAGACAACAATTTACTTCCCTGTTCACATCCCGAATCAGGGTCATGAGAAAAAATAATAACAAGGCTTAACCTTGAGAAAATCACCAGCCAATCACAACGGAATTAAAGTGTGGAAATATGATTCACAGATATATGACTTGATTTTCTGAGAAACGGTCACAAATAGATAACAGAATAACCTTCAGCAAGAAAACAACCATTCAGAAAACGTTGCTTCTCCGCTAACAATAACGCTAATAATAATTCACATAAAAATCTATAAGTACCTCTTGATTTTCTCAACAAACAATATGTTGCCTAGCCCTTGTCTTCCGTCGTTACAGTAGTATCTCCTAGCCAGATTGATGTGAATTGAGAACCGAATTGAATTTATTAACAGTGATATCTAAACACTCATATGGATTAACCAGGAGAAAATAGAAATACTTTTATGAATACTAGTGAAAGGAAGGATTGATTGGTTTTCGATAAAGTAGTTCACATTTGATCATTTGTGGATCTCATTTGTTAAAGTAGTTAAAATACATGAATTTTATTGAGTGCTACTACAAGCACCAACTGAAATATGCTAGTTCTGACTGACTGATTTCAACGTAGAACTCTGCACAGATGTGCAGCAGCTCTAGTTACCACACCCCATGTAATGCACAAAGCAAGAGAAGAGATTAAAAAGAGATTCAAAGGGGAGAGAGAGATAATAAAAAGAAATGTGAGACAAAAAGATTAGTAATATGGAAGAACAATAGAATTTTATTGGATATTGTAAATCACAAACAGTGAATGCATCTGCCCTATTTTGAACGATTTTAAGTCACATCACTATTTGTCTCCAGCCATTAGTTCTTACCATCCCACGGACCAAAGCCAGAAAGCCAGTCCACACCTCTTGACGTGGCTGGCTTAAACGAACTGTCAAAGATTTCATGGACTGATTCCATGTTTTGGTTTGACCACCACTAGCTCTTTTCCAGCCACATCTTATGTCAACTAACATTGACCATCGAAATAGGCAATGGCTTGGAGGAATGCGTAGCACATGTCTTAGCCATCTCAATCGATGCATCTTCGCGACCTCGTCGGTCGATTTCCCCTTCTTAACTAGCACTCGTCGCCTAACCTCAATATTGCTCACCTTATTATACCACCTAACAAAGGGGGATAGAGCTTAGGCACATATGATCAAAGACAGCTAGCCCTTTCATATCTTCCACTTTTAATGGTCATGTCTTAAAGCCATAGATGAGGATGGAGCGGACTGCTGAGCAGTGGACAGCCAGATATTACGTCTACACCAGGGATGGCGTAAGTTGTTGGGATATGCCAAACAAGCCTTCTGTATCCATGCTGAGATTTTCTAAGCGATTAGCCCATTGAGACTGATGAAACTTCCCTAATAAGTAAAGTGGTCATGGCACTCTGGCAATTCATCCCCTATCTTTAAGCTAGCAGTCTATGTAGCATCATTCTAAGTTTGACAGGAGCAAATCCCATACCCAATATTCGAAGATTGCTGCTGACAGTGTTCAGAAGATAGTTACTGAGCATACTGCAATGTGGCGAACTCACTCAAGTAAATATGTGTGGACCAACAGTTCAGATGACTATTATTATGAGAACATGCAACGTACATATTTTCCGCCAACACACAAACTTTTCAGGGGGCCTTATCTGGTAAATGTCAGCAAGTAGAACAGGATTGGTTAAAAGACTTCAGTAGTGAAAGCGTTGAGAGGTTCAAGTGATAGAATATATTCACTCGTACAACCATGAAGTTCTGACTGAAATTAATTAGTCATTCTATCGGTCCTACATAACTTAATTACTGATGAGTAAATAATTTTTTACGAGTTTGACCACGGATTCATATCATTCAGAGAACCATTGAAAACCAGGGAGTACTGGACAGCCGTTTCATCCTAGTTTAGGAATCACCGGCAGTACGCACTCACCGCCAGGGTTCGAACCTAGGACCTTCTGGTTAGAAGGCATGCTCGTATACCATTCAGCCACTGGGACCCGATTCAATAGCCAGTGCATGAATTCTAACTTCTACCAATTCGTGATTGAGCGCGATCACCAACCAATGTCATCGGTGGGACATCCATCCTCACACTTGACTGGGTGGACCTCATTGGTCACGACTTCTCACCAGAACTCCAGGAAACTCCATCCTGTTGCAAGCCATTAGTAAGCATCAGATTAATTTTCAAGAGTTGATTTGTAAGGATTAAATTTGTTTTATTAAAAACAAATTTAATCCTTACAAACCAACTCTTGAAAGATAAAATAACTACCTGTTTTTATGAAATTAGTATTTTACTTGAAAAATAAAGGAGCAAAGATCATGAATATGTTTGTGCATTATGAGATAAGACTAGCAAATTAGAATATCAACTCATCAATACAATTAGATTGTTTAAAAACACCAATTATTCTTGTGAACTTTAAGGTCATCAATTAAAATAATGGATACTCACTTTCATTTTCATATATTATCCAGATACAATTAAAATACATATGATGGAGAAAATTTGTAGTGTTGGTGGACGATATTTATGTAGTTGGTTTCTCTGAGCTAGATGTTTTAGTTGAGAAGCTTTCATTGTCTTTCTAGACAAGCTATTCAGTGTATACTTGAAAACGAAGTGAATTTAATTTGTACTAGGGTTGATCTATTTATTGATTTGGAGT